ATTCCATTTTTTTTTCATACTGGAGTCCCTTATCCCCGGGGGAGTGTCCAAGTTGCGTACAAATGCCCTACCCTGCTGACACCAGATTTGACTGTCATAAACAGAGAACTTTTTTTATCTCGCACGGTCTTTTGGGGGTCTTATAAAGCCTAACTGTGGCACTAATGTCCCCAAGTAGAATTCAAAATACACCACACTTTGACATTGAGTTAGATATTTTTCTCAAACAACCGCTTCCATATGTTTAACACCCTTCCCACATTCCCTCCGAGAGATACTTGAACTGTAATACTTCGCTTTCAAATTTCTCACCCTACCCAGGTAAGGTCAATTTTCTCGTCCTAGACATCGATCTCGGAAGGGCCTTTTTGCGTACTCTTGGGCGCCAAAACCAGTTTAGTGCCCAGCCGTGTGCCGTGCTGAGGCAGGCAGATGTTGAATTATGGAAAGACACAACAATTAAGTTACAGACATTTGATGTTCCGGTCCGTGCGTGGTCGGACGACACCCAGCAAATAATGCCCATGGGGTTGCCCAAGGAAAATTTGGGTTTTACGAGAGTCGAACTGCAGGAGGTCTTTAACGAGGAAAAGTGCGGACACATCTACTTTTTGGAGTGAATGTGCTGCATGCAATTTTTAAGTTACAATATACTATAGATAAATCTAATTTGTTTCTAAAGTTCCTCTCATACACCGAGTAGTTTAGGACATACAGGGAACGCAGAGATCAGACCATTGCATCATGGAAAATTCTCAATTAGACTGTCATCGTAAAAAGTGGTCGCGGTCGCTTACTGGATGTGGATGTGTTCGTTTACAGGAGGTTCCAACTACAAGCGCTTTGACTTGATAATATATTTGGTGTGTTGAATAAGTGATCGCTGATTGGGAAGTGGTCACTTGTTGGATGGTCGCACGTAGGTTTGACGGTGCCTCGTTAAGCGAAAATTTGTTAAAATGTAAGAGAAATCCTAAAATTGTAATACAGTGGAAGCTCTCGTACGAGGGCGCCCTCGGACAGGAAAAAAGGTGTCCTTAACTGGATCTGGCCGCTTACAAGAATGAATCTCATATGCAGCATAGTTATGCAAGTGGAATTCAGCCACTTTAAAAGTGGTGTAAAGGTTAGATAGCCGCTTACGGAAGCTCCTCCCAGCTACAAGTTAACACTGGTAATAGCAAAAAACTGTTTTTTAGTGTATGGTTACGCTGATGTTCTTGCCTTGTGGTAATTTAGGTAAAAGGATACAATTCAGTTTGTCTTTTCAAGTGTAACCGGACGAGTATGTGAAAAAACGGCAACTCTGAAATGGATATATAAGAATGATTCATAACAGTGACAAACAGCCATATGACTGTGGACATGATATGAAAAAAAAAAAACAACATTCAGAGGCGGATAAGATTTCTTTCGAGTGTCTGCTTAGGAGAACTTTAAATCAAAGCTAACATCTAATTCGCCGGTAAACCCTTTAAGTGTCCGCGGCCGCCTACGGGAATGTAAAAATCCAGAGTTTGTGTGGGAGTTGAAACGGTATTTTGTGATGGCGGTCGTAAGTAGAGCTATTCGCTATATACGAGAGTGTCCGTTAAGAGAACTTAATCTAGTGTATGAATCCGCAAATGACAGCTTAAATGAGAAGTGAATATAGTGTATTAGTCTGTGTTCAAGAAACTGTTCTCTTACACCTTCCTTATAGCCAAAGAAGTCTGGCCGACTTTTTTTGCAATGTATTAGTGCCCCTTTTGGGTCTTTTTGTATTCCTCAGAAGTTTTTCCTCAACACGTTTATAAACGGTTATTATTATATTTTTGTAGTCAATAATATACCCAGATACAGATACCAACCTGTATAGTTGTAAGACTACGAGGATTAAAATACAACTAAGTAAGTAATTATACCCAGTGGTAAGTCATTAATTGTCTAAAAACTGCACGGCACGGTCTGACTACAAAAAGGGATATTATGGACCATTATTATCATGGTAATTAATGTCAACATCGAATAAACTCAAAATTTCAAGTAACACAACTTTCACAACCTATTTTCAACACACCAGTCATAACAGGATATTGGCGCGTACAACAATAGATAGCGTATTCCGGATTCCGGAGTCCGGTAGTCCGGCGTCACAGATTCCTTCCTTTTGGCAGAGTCTAAAGTCCAAGATGGAGGGCGTTCGAGCAGGTGGTTGTTTTCTGTAGATATAGACGGATTGTCCGTGATCCTTCTTGTCCTTTGAGAATGATTTTGTTCTTTCTGACTACAACTTATTTCAAAGACTTCGAATGGTCGGTGAAAAGCCAACACTTTTCATTCTGCAATGTTTCAAGATGTTTCGATTTCATTACCTCGTCACGAAGTAACGCCACAAAGGACCAGACGAAACTGGGGCAGCAAGTCTGGACTAAAGCTCCTGAGAGACGTGTATGTAACATTTATTCACTATCTTTTATCCTTGTTGGGTCTTGTTTCACCTACAAGTTGGACCGATGGAAGTTTTGAACAACTCTTTTGCTCCTTGTGTTTACTCAAGCGTTCCATAAAATATCTATCCAAACGTCCACAAATAACACAGAAAACATGCCTCAGGTGACACGTTCTAACAATTCCGCTATTAGTATCGATAATGACGCATGTGATTTGTGACTTCTCGTCAACTTTGTGCTATTTTTGTTTAAAAAAAACGAATGTTACGTTTCTTCCAATTTTGGTCAAATGACAAATAAGCGTCAAGTCAGATGTACATAATACGTCATTATTGATAAAGTATGAGATTGCCCAAATATTTTATGATTGATTTGATAACCTTAAAGATGTCTTTCAAAGAATATGTGAGAATTACGTACATAGGTTGTTGCTCATGGGAGATGTTAGCCACTAAAATACCTTAAATTTAGGGTTTGGTCAAAACAGTGACAAGATGTCCTTAATTTAGGCTAAATAATAGGAAGAAATCGAATTAGAGAGTAAAAATAAATTACTGAGCATTAAGTTTGATAAACATAGAAGATGATAAAGTTGATTAGATTTGAAGTTGTCTTTTCTTCTTGTTGAACAGCCAAACCAAAGTCAGCTAATTAATTATGCAAAAATGAGTAGATTTTGTCGTTTTTAGGGGGGGTCCCTGTAAATCCCAGGGAATTCAATATTGCGACCTTGTTTTTTGTCGAGGTGAATATCTCACCACACCCATCAATTGTGCCAAGTTTGAGCGAAATCCGTGATTTGAGCATTATCACCTCCTGCCTGGTTCTCTCATGGACACACTCTTAATTTTTTTTTTAAATCTTATTTTCACTGTGACAAGTATTTTGCTGTACCTTGTTGCTTCAGTTCCCCCCCAGTAGTCCTGTTAGTAGTACAGCACGCACTATTTACTCCTTTTTTGAAGTGGATGATGTCATTCCCTTTTGTCTTTTATAGCTCACTAATGAAATGCAGAGGAATCTCATTAAGATAATGTCACATGCTATTGTTAGGTCAGGTTTAACAGTTTTGACGGGTTTAGCTGATGATGTCATAGTTTATTTGAAGTTGGTCTTGATGTCACCTGTGATTAAAATTCACTGAATCACAATTTTCATTAGCCATTCACCATTTTCACTTAGACCTTAATGCACCTTGTTTGCCCCCTTCCCCCCAAATTTTACATAACCATTTGTTTCCATTTTTTATCGGGTACAGCAGTCATTTTATGGTCTATGTGAAAATGGTGAATTGGAGGATGTATAGGAAAATCTGTATAAGAAAAAAAACAACGATGGTAAAACAGATAACATTTATAAAGGAATTATCAGTAAAAAAAGAAAGGTAAATTTTTGTTTACGAGAGTACCTCATTAATTTTAATGTTTAGCGAAGTATCAAAAAGCGAGAAAAAGAGAAAATGGCGCTACAACTTTATCTCAGCAGAAAATTTGTTTGTATTTTAGCCTCCTACTCTCACCCATGCAAAAAGACTTCTCAAAATGCCAACAGAACGCTGTGCGAGGTTGATGGTAGTAAGCATGGCAAACAATTTGGACGAAGTCTGGATAACAGAAAATCCATATCTTGCAGCTACTTATTTCAACCAGTACTTTCCAAACTTCTTCAGATGGTACGTTTAGCTTGGTGCAAAACAATAATATAATAATATTGTATCATCTTACTATCTTATTATCTGATTACCTTTACTAGTTAAAGATAATAATAATAATTAAAAATGTAGCTGCAATGGTTATGAAACCTTAAGCTTTGTCAGACTTCTTTGTTATATGTTCTTTTCTGCACAACTTTCATTGAAACCCTCTTAGGGGACGACCATGCTTTTAACTTTTGAGGGGTGTGGGTGGGTGGGTGATTATAAAAAAAATTTCCTGCATGTGCTTGTCGGAAGAAAAAAATTGCATCCAGTGCAAATGGAATAATAAAGAATTCTTGCACTGCTGTAAGAAAGTTATTTCCTCGTTCAAAGAGCTTTACAAAACCCCAGCAAAACATACAAAAAAATTATTCTGCTTCGTACAACCATTGTATTACAATCAACATATCAAGAAATATGAGTGTTATTTTCGGGTAGCCTGCTATTAAGAAAGTCGGGCTTCCTGTTTTTTTTCCCCTGTTTCTTTTTGGTGGCCTGAAAGAGAGTCAGTGCCCAGAAAGTGGCCTGTTTTCACAGCAAAAAGCATAAGGAACACCATCACTTTGGTTTTATTTTCAACTCTGAGGTACTGAATTTAGAGGTGGACTCTATTTTTTATATAATATACAAACCATATATAATTCACTATATAAATTTCAGTTCTGCTTTCACACCTTTTCTGGAGATTTCTTCCACAATGTAAATTTTAAGTGATGTTTCTAGCAGTATTTATCATACTATGAGCATTTCTGGCTATTTATATTTTTAATTAAGAATCTAAACATTTTCACATTTGCTTGATAGGCGTCACTTTATAATGATGACAATATTATAGTGACTTCTTATGACATGAGTGGAAAGAATGACTTTCCGAAAACATAGCTATACAAAAATGATTTTGTATAACTTACTAAATTTTTAGGCTTTGCAACTCCATATCAGGACCATTACTGCAAAAGCCACAATGTAAATGTAAATACATTTTTACAAAAACCTGGACTGAACCTCTTTGAGGAAAAAAAATCCTTCAGGCAAATGAGAAGGGAGAAAATATCCTGCCCAGCAGGTTTGCATTTCACATTTTTCATAAATCATATGCAGAGTTAGCGATTGTGTCAGTGTGTTTGTTGCTCACTCTATTCTCATCAATCCCTTCCTTGTCTGTTCAACATTCAGGACTGTGAAGAAAATTGGAATGAAGATGACAAGAGAGCTTTTGGACTTTCCCCAAGACAAGGATGCATAAATTACATATTACGAGTGAAGACGTGACTTAAGAATGGCTGGTGTACCTCTTGAATCGTTGTAGGATGTTCTTTTTACTGAAAAGCAATCTAAATCGGCTAATTTTGGCGATCAAAAATTCGATTACTTTGTAATCAGTTCTATTTAGAAACAAAACATTCTTGACCCGCGATCCTCCAGATTGACATTTGAATCTAGCTTAAGACTCGGTGTTCCATGGAGGCAACTATAATCATAAACTTAAGTCTTGAGACAAATGTTGCACTTGTATAGGTAACGCTTGCGGTGACACGTAGCTTGCGTAGCAAGCGTTTTCGTGCGGTTTCCGAACGAGAGTCAAAGACCGTGCGAAAATTGGCCAAAACGGAAAATCCCGTTCCTCGGTCTTTCTTTCCTCCCAAATCAAAGAGAAACACTTGCTATGCAGGCTACGTAGCGACACATGGCAGCGACAAATCGCTTCCTATGTACTGGAGAATTTTCGTGAAAATCTTTGTCTCTGCAACAGAACTTTGTCGCCGCAACAAGTCGCACAAATTCCGTTTAATTTCTCTCTCCTTCGCAGAGGCCTCTTTGTGTTGTAGGGGGGAGCCTCTGGGGAGGAGAGAGGTCTGATTTGATCATTTGCGACATGTTGCTGTAACAAAATTCTGTTGTGCTGGCTTTGGTTTGTCAAAGCACGTAATTAGGGACACACCCTCTCTCGCATGGTTTTCGTCAGTGTCAGGTTTCTTCTGCGTTCTATACATGTTCCTTTGTCTCAAAGGTCATTTGTGGTCTCTACTTGATTGTTTTACCCTCCCTCCTCTCCCAGGGGGTAATTTTCTTCTTTCGCCTTTCATCAATAAAGATTGTTTTGCCCCAAACATCTCTCGCCTTCTCTTGTGTGGTAACTAATTCAGAGACAAAGACTGATTTTGTGGGGAAGCTACGTCCTTCTTATTCCCTTAGAGCTAATCCGTAACAACCTTGACTGACTCTGTCAGAAAGGCTCGCGAGGCCCTACTCATCGACAAAGATATGACATTAGTCCCCCATGGTATAAATAGAGGTGATGAACTCAATTAGTGACATTTATCTTTTAGTCTCTTACCTCATTCTCTCTTGCTACTGTTATAGAGTCTGGAAACAATAGCTACACTTGTTATGTAAATTACCCCATTTTTTGGCAAAAGTGTTATTAAATTGACCCCTGCACTTTAGCCCCACCGGTGTCAAGCTTTTGAAAGGTAAAGGGGAAATTGGCAGGAAGGACGCCATTGAAGCGTTGCGTGACAAACATTAAAGGGATTCCTGCTAGTTCGTCAACTATAAGTGTTCCACTGGATTGATTGAAACTTAATTCTTACGGTTTTCAGGAATTTTTAATTTTGAAATTTAAAATTAAAGAGGGCAACATTACAAGGAAATTAACTTTACTTTTAGTTTGTACAGATTTGCTCTTTCCCCCGAGACCACTTCTCTTTTTAATAGTCTCCCTCGCAGTCGTTCTTTCGTCACGCAACGCTCCTGTGGGTTTAAAAAGTGTTACGCAACTGGTCACCATGAAAATCAAAGAATCCTTATGGCTAACTCGTGGATTTAATTATTTTGAAAATAAAAGCTGATAATTAACTTGCAATTAGTCTACCGATATAATTTAAGTCTGTCAAGTTTAAAAAAACAAACCAAACTAATTAAACAAAAGCAAAACGATACCCTGCGAGCAGAGGCTACATTTTCCCGGTTTGAGCTGGCGTGCGAAAAGTAGCTTATGAAGGCAACTCGTCCTATGAAAGCTACAATATCATAACATCGAAAGCTCTGGGCACACTGCACGCTCAGCAGTTCATTTGGGAACGATCGATCAACTATATCGATCAATTATATCGGGCAACTTCAATAATTACGAAATACGTCTACATATGAGTGACACATATGCATATCGCAGTGCCTACAATAGCTCCTTCCTTACTCTACGCGTAATCCAACTGGTGGTCTATTATCAACGCTGCGTTCTGATTGGTTGAGCTACTACTAGGCTATATATGTTATAGCCTTCTAGTGGCGAAAAGCCCGGGCTTTTTGTCGGCAAAAAAGGATTAAAGTCTAGCTTTAACTAGCTAAAATTTTTTTATTCTCGATATTTTTGACCAACTAGTTGGATTTTACTAAAACAATTATTTCCTCTCGCTCTCATGGCCTCTGAGTCAATAGCCCATTCGGCCGTTATAGACTCAGAGCCCATTATTCGGGCTCAAGGAATAATTGTTGTCATTGTTAATTAGAGGAATATTCGTCACGGGGGTGATTCGTGTCGCATTATGGTTCGAACACTTTTGGTTCTTGCAGTCTTAGTTCCTCTTGTGTGCTTCTTGCTCGTGAAATATCAGGATGCAGATTTTGTGCTTATGATTTACAAATTGATAGGTGAGAATCCCGCCGTAGCGTTACGCGGGAAAGTTGTGTGGATCACAGGTGCTTCAAGCGGTATCGGTGAATATTTAGCTTACGAACTGGCTAAATGTGGCTGTAAGTTGGTACTTTCTGCACGAAGAAAAGATGAATTAGAAAGAGTCAAGAAAAATTGTGCAGGTAGGTAAAAAACGCTATAAATATGAATACGGTAAGCTTATATTATAACTGCGTCGAGGAACGGAACGACGGTGTACAGTGTCCGTAATAGCGAGAGTCCGAAATAGCGGGGTGCGAGAAAGAAATGTCTTGATATTATAGGAATTACAAATATTTATACTGTATATTGTCGCCATAACCAATTGCAGTGCAGTTTTCGCATGTAAAGAGCTTCATAACTTTTCTTACAAGCAAAACGAATCGTAAGAGCACAGACTGCACAGCATCTCTGACTGCATCTCTCTTTCGTTCACCACGATAATTACAGTAATTATTAAATACAAACGACTAAAGCAACTTTGGAATGCCCTCTCTGAAATAAAAAACCCAGAAATGCTTTGACAATTTGTTAAAAACAGTATATGAGCTGGCTTAGGACTGCGAATTTCAGTTAGGTATTTACAAAATTTATGGCGGAAAGATTTTCCTCGATGAGAATAAAAGAAGAAGAACTCAGAAGAAGCACAAATGAAAGGAAAGTGACAAAAGGATGTCAGTAAAACGCGGGGTCGAGGTCTATCTTTTTTTTGAAAGATGCTGTTTTAGGGTAAGGGTCAACCCTGATCCTAACCCTAACCCTAACAAAGCGTTCGTTAAGAAAAAGATGGACTCCGACCCCGACCCCGCGTTTATTGACACCCGTGACAAAGGCGAAGTCAAAAGGAGGAGGAAATAAATTATCATTTGAGATAATTCCGCCTAAACGTTTAAAGGTTCAGATTTTGATAAGAATACATTTTAAAGCTCAACTCAGTGCTAGAGCAAGTCTCACCCTGGGGGTGTGTGTGTTGGTAGGGAGGGAGGGGTGGCATAACTGTTCTAAGTATGGGCGAGGAGATGTGTCTGAGTGTGAATCCATTAAGGATAAACAAGAAACCTGAATACTTGCCCAGCACATGACAACAATAGCAGTGTGTGAGCTCTGTCTAGAGCAGAGGACAAATACATGTACATGTAAGCCCAGATAAAATGTATAGCCTGCTCTTGATAGAGAGGAAAAACACACTTTGTCAAAGAGCATGTAAAGGTGAAAACATAATGAAGTACCCTATCCCCAAGTGACCCCTGAAGTCGGAATGCAGGTAGAAGCAAAGATTTTCTTTAGAGGGTGTCAATGGGGTATAGCTGTAGTCAGTAAACAGCTAAGAATATGCTAGTTAGTCAGTAAGCAGCCAAAAAAAGGTGTTTAGTCAGTTAATTGGCATGGTTATGTGTCCTGCAGACATTAAAATTGTTTATAGGGTGGTGTTTCCAAATCAATCACTCCCCTAAGACTCAAACGTTCTGTCCCACTTTTCCAGTATGCAATGCACTGGTTTGCAATATTCTTTAACACTTCATTAAATCAGTCTGAAGACAATTATTTCTGACAAATCCAGCCTAATCTGTGATGCCATTTTGTTTTCCATGGTTGAGCCTGGGAGACACAACCACTCTCTGCTTCATCCTCTTTCTGTGAATAAAATACAGTCATTGTCCCACTTATATCATAACTAAAATGATATAGGACGGTGTAATCATGCAAACGCGCACTCTTGAATGGGTTCAAGGTCAGGAAAGGGAATCAGTAATAAAACTTTTTGTCCAATTAACAATCTGTAATTATAATGCTTGTCACTCACTAGGATGAAAAAATTGGATTCTCACTTAATGCAGTCGCGTGTCCAATTTTGATTCATCGTTCGAAGATTACAGGGGGAATTAGACTTCATTCGTCCTATTACTCGGATCATAGACACTTAGTACACACCTATTTGCAAGATCGTGTAAGCAAAGAGGTAGGACGCTGAGACAATAAACCATTTTATAGTAGTGGGCTTATAATAACCTAGTCATCACCTTAAGCATAAGAACAACGTGATTAAAATAATCGGCTCAACCACAGAATGTCGCAGTCGCATATACTTCTTCAGCAAACAGACTTAAGTGTACTGGGAAGATATTAACAAGTACATCTCTATCATTCTATCTCACCATATCATCTTTTTATTTCATAAAGTGTTCATTTACTTGTTTGAATCAATTTCTAACTCTTTGGGTTTACTTCGCTCCGTATACGCTTAAAAGATTACCTGTTTTATACGCTTGTCAGTTAATATTTTGTAATTTATATGTTTACGATAGTAAAAAAAGGCATTTATACATTAAGCAGTTAATCCCATTGGCCCCCTAGTACTGAGTTTGTTTTTACTATTTCTTTCCTACTAGCAATTTCCCTTGCCATTGACCCATCATTTAAAAAAGATCAAGAAATTCTAGTCCTTCCATTGGACTTGCAAAAATTTGATGCACATGAAAAACTGGCCCAAGATGTCCTCAAGCATTTTGGAAAGGTAAATAGAAACTAGTATGTATAGGGCTTGATTTTAACAGCAGATGGTCTGAGCCGGGGGACTCCACACATGAAAGGGGTGGGGATGCTCATCGGAAATTTTGAATTAAACCTCTAAACGAGACTGATCTGGGCGTGGCCAAAGCTTTTTTTGACCCCTAAAAGAGACCATGTTAAAACACAGACAAATGAGAAAACTTGAATTATATGAATGCAGTAAATAAAACAAATTAAAAATATAAATATCAATTATATATTTTTATATTTTTTTATGTGCAACCTTAAACGAGACCTTCATGGCTAAATATGATGGCATTTTGCCCAGAACACCCTAAATGAGACCAAAATCCGAAATTTACACCCCTAAACGAGACGACGAGCATCCCCACCCCTTTCATATGCGGAGTCCCCCCTCCCGTGGGTCTGAGTGGACAGGATAGGATAGGATAGGATAAGTGCTTTATTATCAACAGAGCGCCTACAGACACGTGTTTACAACGATAACAAAGATTTAGTGCAATAATTACAGTGGTGTACATTTGTAGAATTTATACAACTATTAAACAAGGTTATATTTAAGGCGTCTATCTCTTTTGCAGAAGCGATCACATACGTATTTAGCCCCATTTTTTTGCATTTTCTCTCCTTGCTTCATACTTATCAACGTTGCAAAGGCAGAGCTTGGAGTCATAGAGTCAAGAAAAAGATTAGTTTCCTTTTTTAGCGTATTGAACAGCTCTCTCCTAGGATCCCTATAGGCTATGCAATTCATCAAAAAATGCTCCTCGTCTTCTAATCCAGTTTTACATAATGGACAGATTCTTTGCTCTGGTGGTTGATAGGGTTTAACGTATCGTCCAGTTTCAGTTGCTAGTTTGTGGTTGCTTAGTCTTAGCTTTCTGATTGCTACTCTATGATTGATGTTTCTTACATTTGTGAGGTAATTTTCGTAGTCATGATGGGTAAGTTTAAATTTCCTAAAAGTTCTTAGTTTGTTTTTTTGATGCGGGTCCTTTCGTTCATCATTGTGTATTTCGCTAAATTTATCCATGTTTGCTGTTCTATGTCTAAGAGTCTCTGTTGTACATAGCTCATGATTGCGGGAGTGTTTGTTTTCGCTGACCATATGCCATATGACAGCCGGGTTAAGGGTTGACAACTGACATCAAAGCTGATTATTAGTGTTGATCCATGGCCACTCACTTCATTGTGTGGCTGCTTCAGGTCATGCTGTTCCAGGTTCTATGTTAATGTGATTTTAACATACAACACTAGACTACAAGACAGTAAAAAACTAGCATCTATAATTGCAATAAATCACATTTTTATTTAAAAGCAGCATTTAAGTAATTGGTATTTCTCAACATTTCCTCCCCTTTAGTATGCAGTTAAACCGTCTTTATGCGCTTCTGTATATGTTATTTTGTTTTTATGGGAATTATTTTCATTTGTACTCAGTGCCTACTATAGAGCCTAATCTCACATTAGATAATACTTAGACTGCAAGGTCTTAATAATTGAAGGCCTTGATATTTGAAAGACCTGTATGGTCTAATGGTTTTCCCTTAAGTACAAAAACAACAATTTTTGAAAAAAAATTAATCCCTAGTTTCTACATCATTTCCTAGAAAACACATCCACTATACAATAATATTGGCAACAACAACCCCCTACCCCCTCCCCAGTGGAAATAGTCCCCTTGTTCACTGTTTGGTCGGGTGCAGTGTGATAGACAGTAGTATCAGATAGTCTGTTTAAGAAAATTTGTTTGGACCTGATATCCAGGTTTTAGTCTTGATTTATAAGGCTTGTTGCCAGACAAACACAAACTTAATTATGTCAAAGAAATATATCAGTTTTTAAAAAGTCAAATTAACAGCTATCCAGACACGGTCCTTTTTATTTTGAAGTGTTTAAATACTATTAAAATATTTTCCTGTTTACATCACTAATAATGAATGTCTTTTCCAGGGTTACTTTGATACAGCTCGTCTTGAGTTATCAGAGTACAATATTGGTGTCCAGATCATCTGTCCAGGACCTGTCAAGTCTGAAATATCAAAGAAAGCATTGTCTGAAGATGTTAACAAGGTAAACAGAATTTTTTTTGGACACCAATGGGGATTGAGTCAGATGTTTTCAATGAATAAATAACATAGAGACGTATACTTTGGTTTAGCCCCTGCTTATGCAGTTTCTGTGACATCTAGAGCACATGTAAAATTTTTTTAAAAATATCTTGTTTTCACTGTGAGATTCATTTTGCTGTACGTTGTACCTCGTTGTTGCTTCAGTTCCCCCCAGTGGTCCTGTTAGTAGTACAGCACACATTATAGCTATTTACTCCTTTTTTGAAGCGGACAGTGTCATTCCGTTTGGTCTTTTATAGCTCACAAATGAAATGGGGAGGAATCTCATTAAGATAATATAAGGTCACGTGCTATTTTTAGGTGGTTCATTACTGTTTTGACAGGTTTAGCTGATGATGTCATAGTTTATTTGAAGTTGGTCTTGTTGTCACCTGTGATTAAAATTTACTGAATCACAACAATTATTTCTGATTGGCCATTCCTAATTAATATGGACACCAATGGGGATTGAGTCAGATGTGTGCAATGAATAAATAAAATAGAGACGTATACTGTGTTTTGTTTTAGCCCCTGGCAATGATTTCTGCGAAATCTTGGGAACATTTAAAAGTTTTTTTCAATTTTATTTTGGAGTTTCCTTTTTTTTTTCACTGTGAGAATCATTTTGCTGTACTTTGTTGCTTCAGTTTGCCCCAGTAGTCTTGTTAGTAGTACAGCACACACTATTTACTCCTTTTTTGAAGTGGATGATCAGTGTCATTTCCTTTTGTCTTTATGTCATGAATGAAATGCGGAGGAATCTCATTAAGATTTATATAATAATGTCACGTGCTATTTTCTGGTGGTTTAACTTTTTTGAAAGGTTTAGCCAATGATTTTTTGACTTTTGATTTTTAATGCCTTTTTACATATAAATGAAAGGAAAAAAACATTTCATTACATGAAATTCACATGATACTAAAAATAATCTCAAAGGCAAGGAAGTCTCAAGAAGCCATGAACGCTTCATAGTTTATTTGAAATTGGTCTTGATGTCACCTGTGATTAAAATTCACTGAATCACAATTTTCATTGGCCATTCACCATTTTCACATAGACCTTGCTTACCTCTCCCCCCAAATTTTACATAACCATTTGTTTCCAAATTTACAGTTGTATTATGGTCTATGTGAAAATGGTGAATTGGAGGATGGTTGGATAGTCTCTGCAGCTGTATATGAAATTCAAACTAAACAAAAATGGTCAAAACGATAACATTTATAAAGGAATTATCAGTAAAGAAAGAAAGGTAACTTCTTGTTTACAGTACCTCATTTAATATTTAGCGAAGTATCAAAAAGCGAGAAAAAGCGAAAATAGCTCTACAAGTTTATCTCAGCGGAAAATTTGTTTGTATTTTAGCCTCCTTCATCCGACTATGCAAAAAACCTTCCGAATATGCCAACAGAACGCTGTGCGAGGTTGATGGCAGTAAGCATGGCAAACAATTTGGACGAAGTCTGGATAACAGAATATCCAATTCTTACAGCTCCTTATTTCAACCAGTATTTTCCAAACTTCTTCAGATGGTATGCTTAGCTTAGTGCAAAAAAATATAATAATTATATTATCTTACTATCTTATACCTCTCCCCCCAAATTTTACATAACCATTTGTTTCCATATGGCGCAATGGCGGCCGCACGTGTTTTTTAACGTTGGCCAAATTTTCGGCTACCATTGTTAAGTGCAGGCATCTGCAATTGTATTGCTTTGATGGCAACTAAAGATGAAATTAAGTCACTCTTGGAGGCCGAAATTGGACCTCTAAAAGCTAAATTAACCTCGATTGAAAAGTCATTCTTTGAATTGGAAAAGTCGGTCAAACACTTCTCCGCAAAGTATGATGAGCTCTTGAAGCAAGTACAGCGCTCAAATGATAGAACAGCAAGCCTTTCCACTGATGTTAAGAACCTAAAGGAAGATATGAAGCAGTGCAAGAAAATAGGGCGCGAAATTGAAGACCTTTCTCAATACTTGCGCCGCGACTGCTTGGAGCTGACAGGCGTTTTACCAACCGAAGAAGTATCTTGTTTTGACCTTGTTTGTTCTATTGGGAAGGAAATGGGTATCGAGCTGCAAGATGAAGACATCTCCACGGCCCACCGTTTACCCACTTACAATAAAAGTGCAGAAGACAAGATTATCGTCAAGTTTACGCGTCGCAGTATTCGGGACGAGTTTTACGGAAAGAGGAAAACAATCGCCGGCAAAGAAGTTGGTAAAGTTGGCACTCTACGGGATCTTTCTCAAGACCCAAAGAAGAAATTATATATCTCCGAGTCGCTAACACAAGCAAGAAAGAAATTGTTTGGCAGCATCAACAAGTTTAAGAAGGACAACAAGTGGAAATATATTTGGACCAACAACGGGCGAATATACCTCAAGCAAGGAGACGGGGAAAAGCGTACGTTCACATTCAACTACGCAGACGAGTTCGCTGACTTCAAAAGTAAATTTCCTCTTGGATAAGTGAAGTCTATTTTTTTCTTTTATTTAGTAGGTGCATATGCCCAAATTTTGCTGTTTCTGGTACCGATCCTGGTAAGTCATTCAGTTGGAACTGTTCAAGTTATTTAATTATAATCACTTGACACGACTGTGAATTATTTATCGGAACTGCCATTTTATGGCTTAACAGACAGGCGAGAATTCGCGAAAGCTGTGGGATCATGGGTGTACGATACTGTTCTTACGCTTGAAGAAAGAGATTTATTTGAGAACGTTCTTGAAAGCCCTGACAAAAACGATCAGGCTCCACCTACGGCTTAGAAAAGAGAACTTACATAAAATATTTGGGCGTACTTATAGATGACACGCTATCATGGAAACATCAGGTGTCTTATTTATGTACTCGAATTTCTAGAAACACAGGAATTGTTGGCAAA